GGCGATCACTACGACAATGCACTCAGATACACTACGACAAGGCTTTGAAGTTGCACGGTTTGGTTTTGACATGTTTGGTGCGAAGATGTTGAGGAAAATGCTGCACTCACGTACGGCCTCTGGGTGGTGGCGACGTTGATGGTCTCCGCTGCCTCTACGGTTCCGCAGTTTACAGCTTGGTACGTCAGGTGCGATGAGGCGAGCACCACAGCTCATACGCCGCCTTTTTGCCGCTGCTGCCGCCTTACTAGTCCCCTCCGCCTTCTTCTGGGGTACTATTCGGAACCTGACTGGTTACTTCACTCCAATCTCTGGCAGAGACGTCCAATCTCTGAGAGATTCTCTGCTTGATGGAAGCATCGTAGTCCTCGAGCTTTGAAAGTTGGTCGTCGAGACAAGCAGATTTGTTCACCTTCATGTGAAGTGCCTCGCTTTATTTTTCATTCCATTTCGATACACTTACTGAGCAAAAGATCGTTGTACTCCGATGGGCTAATTTCGTCAGCAATGAGTATTTATTTCAGCAACCTCCTCGAAGAACGAGGGCCCTGCCGTTGCGCACACTTCTACCAAGCAGGAAGTTGTGACTAAGAATGGCAAGAAGGTAACACGTCATACCGTCGGATGATGAAGATGTCGTCGGACTTGTTCGTTTTAGATGCTTAGGACAACGACAACCACGGAACACGTCGATGGTACGACGTCTACGCAGACGAAGGAGGAGCTGATCAGATGACTTTCGTTTCTGAAATACGGACAATTATAGACCGTTCTGTACCATAGATTTTTAACCACCAGTTTCGATGCTCAGTACTGTGGCATGTTGTCTTCATCGAGTGAACGCTGTTATACAAGCAACGCAGGCAATGATAGAACGACATAGAAACTCATGGTGGTATCATACACTAGTACTTCACGAATGGGTGAAAATAATGAGAACTAAAGAACTTGAATATGTTGTTTCCTCGAGTTGGCGAGATCGAGAGAGAATGGGTAATGTGCTCAGTATCACGCTTGAGGACGCATCCAGTGAAGGATATCGATACTTTTGCATCATCCTTGACCCTCGATTGTGATGCTCGTGCTAATGCCTTCACGCATACGAGTAGCAGCCGCGATCTTATCGTTATTGACATCAACGATAAGGCCTCGCCTGTGTTGACTGTGTATGTTGATTCAAAGAGAGAAGCATTAGGTTAAGATCAGGCATTGCAGCGGTATACCTCCCAGCAACTGGAATCCGGTATGAACATTCCTCGAACAAGCTCGTCGCTTACTGATCGGTTAACATCATGCATTATTATCAAGCTGGAGTGGCAGTGGACACAACCGCATCATGCGACCTCGAACTCCCACAACACAACGCGAAAAAAACTCTCTGGAGATTCGCATTGATTCTGTGAAATCACCGATAGACTTTTTCACAGCATGAGATCGAAGACTGCGGAGATCCAATAATTTCCGACTACGTTGTAATTGTAGACTGCAGAGGATGCATTCGTTCGGCTGTCACTGCAAACCATTAGAATAAGGTACAAATGAAATGAGTATGATGCAGTAGCCTCGTCTTGGAATTGAAGCAATTAGAAATAATGTCCAAATAACTAATCCTTACGTAACGTTCTGTCGGGGTACTGTGTACTACGATATTGAGATTAAGAGGTGCCGAAACAAGCACCAGGTAAGTGCAACTCTATCTTCAGTATGAAAACGAGTTCGATCACGGGTTGCCGGAACGGCCTTGCCGGAAACTCACTGCGTTGTATCGGTAACATTGAGCGGTATCACTAGCTCTGGATGAGCTCTCACCAGCTGGCCTATCAGTGCCTGATGATGCAACAGAACAAGGCTGCGTCTGCTAGCCCGGCTTACATTCGTCACATCGCGAGAATTAGATCAGCTTCCACGAAGCGCTCTAGGAGTGTTTGGAGCATCACTGTCGCTTCTGGTCTGCGGACAACAACTGATTGAATGCGAAGGGCGACCCGCCTACTTGGTGAGGCTCCACATATTCCAGCCGACAGCATCAACACTCGATGGAGATGGCCCTGGAGATCTCGGAGTTGGCTGCTGCAAAACCGACCATGAGAGGCTGTAATGTCCAGAGCCTCACCTGCTGCCTATCTCGACTTCTTTCAGAGTAGGGCGTCAGTAAGTGCCTAGGGATTGTCGGAGTTCTGTTTTTGAATAACTCAGCGTCCGAAGGGGATGTGGCGAAGCAGGGCGTGCGAACCTACTGAGGAACATCCGTTCACAGCTTCGCACAAGATTGGTTCACCATGCCAAGAATCTCAGCAGGATCCACACTGAACAAACTGCCTCGTCTATCAGCTACTGGAAAAGGCGCCGATTGATCCACAGTAGACGGAGGTCCCGCAGACTCTAAAAGCCCGTGTTCATAAGCATACGGAGTGCCTCGAATTGTGCTCACCATCCCCATCGCTGACGATACTGAGAGTGCTTCCTCTTCTAGCGGTGAGAGTGCACTCACTGGCAGTATCCGCGTTAACTTGGGTCGAGCTTGACCAAAGTAGATCTTCGAGGTGCTTACTATTTTGGGACCTACTCAGTAACAACGACCGCTGGGCTGACCACGATCCTGTCAAGTCTCGGCGAGCCCAACAACGGTACGGTAGGAGCAGAGCGGGCAACAGAGTCTCGCATGCTGCCATCAGGAACGGTTGTGGAAGACCTACGAGAACTCACAGCTGCACTCAGACACTGTGTCACAGTGATATCACTCGCTGATAAGCGTGACAGCGCTACTCTTTCTTTCCCACGCTCCAATGTATCTAGATTCAGCCTTCCCTGCTGCTCCGGTCAGGGAGACATTGTCAGCGGCTGATTGTGTCGTACTGGAGCCTCCGCTGGCGTACATAATGTGGTTCGTCTGAGGAGAGAGTTGCTGACAACATACCACGTGAGCATCACATCGGGGGTGCTGCTGCGTCTTCTGATGGCGTGCGTCGGTGGAGCTAGTAGGCCGCTGCTTGCACGTGAAGGCCTGAACAGAGAACTATCATACAGTAATCTCCGAGATAGTCGCATTTTACTTGCTTCTTGTAGCCTCCAACGACCTACTGCCAGCGGGGCCTACTTGGGAGGCTGAATCGGTGTCGGAGCACCCTGAGAACAATTCGATGGCAGTTGACAAACATCGGGCCCCTACTCGTGGAAACCGAGCCTCTAGTTGAGCCCCTCCGCATGAGTAGGTCTGGATGCCTGGATAGTATTGACTAAGAAGGCAACATTGTTCACTACAGCAACAAGATAGAGCACATACTCTGAGAGTCTCGTCGTCCACTTCTGATGACATTCCTCGATAGGTTCTCATTATGAGGGACGCTAATGTGCGGGCAGCTGCAGTGCGGCTATCTGCCGGTGTCTGAGACCCGCTCTGGTCATCTGCTGTGTACATGGCAACCGTGAGTGAATTGTGATTGGGAGCTATTCTGCGAGTTGTTCCGATGTACGATTGACCAAAGCTCAACTCAATACCAGTGATCTGATATATTTGAAAAGGTAAATAATTAACTTCACCTCAAAATGCTGTAGTCATCCACCACTACGATTTCAGAGGCCGATTTCGCTTTCAGTGGAATCAATACCATCGGACGGGGCACCTATGCCACTCCGAGATATGCCTTCGCTGCTAGTGAGGGGCAGATATGCCACTGCGATATCGGCACCTATGTTGCAACTATCACGACAAGGCAAGATGACCATTCTGCTTCACAGGACTTTTTGCCGTCACAATAGCGTTAAAATTCTGGAATGGCATATCGGCCCCAATCGCAGCAGACCTTCGAGGGGTATGGCGGCCCTGTTCCCGAGCACTGACGTGAATTAATAGTCTCCCCCTCATTTATAACACATCTCGTGCCAACAGGAGTGTATGGCAATGAGCACACACCGTATCGCCTTTTACTCTGGGAAAAGCTGTTTATCCATCACTGTCCGTACCAACACACACTATGTCGGCCTATCAGACTCAATGGAACCACACCATATTGCTGCATCATACCCGCAGAGTGGATGTATGAGTGATGCTGAGAACGTGGTACTGATGATGCCATAATCTTCAATGATGATCTTGAGCTATGTGGGCGCGCGCGATGCCAGTTACATCAGCGACCGCCCTCGGCCAGCAACTGTCTATGACACGAAGGTATCTTTGTGAGAGTATCATTCCCTTTAGCGCAAGGTCCACTGTCCGCGTGACACGAAGAGTGCTAAAGTGTAAGTTTGTGATGATCACGGAAGTGCTGTAGTGCATTGCATGCACTGCATGCGCTTCCTCTGAACTCGAGCCTGTGGCCAATATCAGTCTCATGCTACATGGTGTTGAGCGCCAATCGTTCCCCGTGCGAGGTCTTATCCTCGGGACGGTTTTATCGTGGCGTATAGAGACTCGCCCATCGCACGTGTTCCATGACAGTGCTTCAAGCACTATGCTTGACTCTTCCGAGTCGTCGAGTCGAGCTAGCGGCCGTGGGAACATTTTTATTGTTATCAAGACAGATTTACTCGCATCACCCTTCAGTAGTACTTTTTCGATTGAGTATCATGTTATCCGTGCTGGCAATCGCTTCGCGAGTTTGGCTACCGCGCCAGTCTCAGCATGGTTTGGCCCGCTGCTCTCTCATCACTGGACCGGTCATGCCCACTTTGCCTTATGTTAAGAATGCCTTGGAACTCATATGTCTGCTGAGACCCTTACCTATCATCATGGTGAGTTGACTGCATCGTCAAGTTTGGCGTATTGCTGTGATTTTAGATAAACATCATCAAACATATGTCGACACTTTGAATAGTATTGCCGCTGAAAACCCTGCCATTGCTAAGAAGACCTTGGAACAGATCATCCAGACTGAGACTGGCAAGACTTTCAATCAGGCAGCTCAGGTAGGCTCTTTTGGGTACGTTGTTGCTGCGCTTATGTCGTTCTGTTGAGGTATACAATCACACATTCTTCTTCAACAACTTGTCACCCAACGGAGGTGGAGAACCGACTGGCCGTGTTGCCGAGCTCATCACTCGAGACTTCGGAAGTTTTGAGAAGTTCAAGGAAGAGTTCAGTGCTGCTGCTATTTCACACTTTGGCAGCGGATGGGTGTGGCTCATTGCCGATGACGGCAAGCTGAAGATTGTAAGAGGGTTACTCAATTTCTTCGGCGTCCCTAATGACAGCAAGTTAGCCATAGTAATAGGCGGGTAGTCAAACCATTCTACTCGATTGTTCGTACTCGGCATCAACTAGCTTGACGACTGTTCTCACTGTGTTCAGGCTCAGGGTCACGATGCTGGTAACCCGATACATGAGAGTAAGACCCCTCTGATGAACATAGATGTTTGGGAGCATTCCTATTACATTGACTATAGGAATAATAGAGCAGAGTAAGAGGACTCCTGCCCATTGGGTTCCTAGTGGTTGTATCTTCGCTTTTCAGGTATGTGAAGAACTACTGGTTCCTCATCAACTGGGACTTCGTCAATGAGAAGGTCGCTGAGGCTGGTCTCTAGAGTGGGCCTTTGCATTCCGATATGTGGCACCGTATTATATACTAGGCCACCTTTTACTGTTTAAGGATCCAGATATTATGCTGTTGCTAGTTGGCTGTTCTTCCAGTGAGTCAGTAAGGCTTCCTTTGTGTGTGATGCTCGCTTGGTGCTTGTGTTGTGGCTTAATTGTGAAAGGGTGGGATCGATGATTGAGTGCTTTGCTTTGACCGATCGTTGGTGCGAGAGTGATTGAATTGAGAGTTTGTGAGTGACGTTGATTGTTTTCAAGTCGATTCATTTGTCTTCGGTGATTCTGTAGAAGCTCTATTCGAAGTCTCAGTGCATGATAGTAGGAACACAGGCTTGACAGTGAGGATATTACTGGTTGAGGACCTCGACTCGAGGTATTTGAAAGGTCGTTCTCCATTATCGGATATAAGCGCTACAATAGAAAGTTGTTGGTGTATGCGTCGCATGTGTTCTCCTAAAGCGAGGGTTCGCATACATATAATCGATTCAACTGTTTCGTATGACTGAGCGTTCCTGAGAAAGCATCAGAGTAAAGCGGGAGTAGATTCTTCGGAATGTTACTTGAAGTTTGCAGGCCAAGTCACCTGACAGCGGTGTTGTTCCAAATTGTCCTAGTCCGATTATATGACTCACCGGACGCAACCCTGACTGGCCAACTTTCTAGTCATCGCTTACACTATCAACTCACTGATTCGAATCGTATCTTTCTGCAAGTCTAAGTGCATCTTGGCTAGCAGGATACCTCGCCGTCGTGACCGGCGCAGGACACTTGATGTGTATTGCACAGCTTCTAATGTCTTTTTCGTAGTTCTCCGCTATGCATATCATAGAGGTCGTCAGCTTCATTCAATACCAATAGTCACTTGCTTAGTTGTCCTTGTCGATTAATTTGTTGGAAACTATGTCTGGCGGTCCTCATGTTCTTCCTCCTCTCCCATGGGCAGAAAATGCTCTGGAGCCTCACATGTCTGCCGAGACTATTCAGTATCATTATGGTAGGTATTGTCGCTTTAACGGCTTGGTTGTGAATGTCTCTGATTTAGGAAAGCATCATGCTACGTATGTTGCCAATCTCAACAAGATTTGCGCTGAAGATGGTGATGTTGCGAAGATGAGCATGGAGGAAATCATCAAGACCAAGAGTGGAGGAGTCTTCAACCAGGCCGCTCAGGTGAGGAATCGGTTAGGTTATGTGCTTGTCATTTGTTACTGTTGTCAGGCATGGAACCATACTTTCTTTTGGAATAGCCTATCCCCCAGTGGTGGTAACGCTCCTACTGGCAAGGTTGCTGATCTCATCAACAGAGATTTCGGGAGCTTCGAGGAGTTCAAGAAGCAGTTCACAGCCGCCGCTGTCGGTCATTTCGGCAGTGGTTGGGCCTGGCTTGTGGCTGATAACGGCAAGCTGAAAGTTGTAAGTTGATCTTACTTGTGGAATTGTCGCGTCTCGTTTGTTCGCTCGTTGTTCCACTTTTTCCGTGGAGTTGTCCTTGGTCAGGTTCAAGGTCACGATGCTGGCTGTCCTCTGAGAGATGGTCAGATCCCCATTATCAACTGTGATGTATGGGAGCATGCCTACTACATTGACTACAGGAACGCTAGGCCTAAGTAAGGAAGGTGAATGTTGGTCAGCGCTTGGTGATGGTGCATCGTTCAGGTATGTGGAGCATTTCTGGGAGATTGTCAACTGGGACTTCGCCAATAAGAATGTTGTTGCAGCCGGCTTGTGAAGATGACTATTGTTCTGGTCGTAGCTGCTCCTAGGCTAGGACTTACGGGAGCATACAAAGCTTCCTGTTATTTCTCATCGTACTCGTGTGAGTAGTTCAGTCGATTGATGGAAGAAGATTTGAGAATTTTTCACTATCTGTTTGAGGGTGCTGTGTTGTAAGTTAGCGAAGCGTGATGGTTCGATTAAGGTGAAGAGAGTGCATCTTACGAAGGGCGTTCAGTGAAGTAGTAGGAGAATGCTTGTAAAATGCATTACCAGTATCAAATCGCCTATTCTGACTTAAGTTATCTCGAGATCATCCTCTTCCGTCTTGAGCATGGTCAGTTCTCGATTCCTGTGACGGATATCGGCATAGTGCTCGCTAGCATCTAGATTCGGCTCTAGGTTGGTATGCGGTTGTATATAAATGTATGTCTGCCGCGTTTGAAGATTTGATTTGAGTGAGAGTGGTTTGCGTTGAAGCGATGAACTGTACGGACCTCCATGTTTTCATCGAAGAAGGTTGATACGCGGGTGATGGAGGTGTTCAGTTCAGCCCTGAACGTCTGAGTAGCACCAGTCTTTGAGTTCTCGCAAATAAATCAATCAATGCGAGTCTCACTATAATACAATCGTAGTAAGTTATGAGTGCTGTGGGGTTCGAACCCACGCGGACCATGTACAGTGGATCTTAAGTCCACCCCCTTAACCACTCGGGCAAACACTCGCTAAATATTGTATCGTCATATACGAGCGAAGGTTCGAGGGTTCATATCGAAAATTCTAGACAGTTTAAAACCTCTCATTTTCGGTCAAGTCCAGAAGCTGGGGAATAGTTCTGCTGGAGTCCTGCAGTAGGACTAGTTAGTTTCTGTTTCGTACCGTAATGAGTAGTCTTGCTCCGCACAGCTTCATACTGTGGTAGCCGCTCAGTCTGATAATCACACTTCGATGGCAGTTTTCAACCGATGACCTACTTCAAGGAGGAAAGCGATCGCTCTTTCTGCGCATTCGAAGTGCGGCGCGGCCTACTGAAATCGAGAGTCTCAATTCGAGACAGTCAGGGACAGCTAATTCAAGCAGACTTGTTTCACCGAGTAACTCATGAGGCTCAGTAAGCTCCCATTGAATGAACTGTGATGCACAAAGTGAGCGGGCGATGCTGAATCATTTAGGCTTAACTAATCACCTGCGTTATCTATTTGACGCGGAAAGAAGTGGTATGGTTGGGCTCGGGAGTACTGGATGCTTCCATTACATGGGAGTCCAATGTAGTGAACACAGTTAGTGATTGTGTATGATTGTTGATTGTCCCCATGATGGGACAATACTCCATGATCCAACATGGAAACAACATCTTCACCATACTCGATGGCAGGATGTTATATGCGCGACCAACGTTCATATTCTTCTGGGGTGCTCATTAGCTGCTCCAGATACAAAAAGCAACGCAAGCCCTCTCGTGGAAATCAAATTCTTGAATGATGATAGTTGCATAGTTATCTAAAAGTCATTACTGGGCTCAATTGGAGTCGTCCGCGGCACCATCTTGGGCAAGGAGAATCTACAGTCAATCGTTGGAGATCGTTTGCAAGACTACGCCTACTTTAACAGTGCTTGAATTGCCACCCCTTGCGCAGGCGGAACTCTGCAGCGGAGCGGTTCTCCCTCAGGGGAAGTTACCTCAATCTACGTTAATACATGCACGCCAGCTCGCTACATCCCTGTTGGTTACCATGAGATGTCCTTTATTCTGCCCAATTCTGGCATGTGTCGCTTCCTGTGCAGATCCCTCCGCCGCACACAATGTCTCTACACTGGACGTCGCCTCTGGATTACGAAAGTTGAGAGCCTAAAAGAACCCCATGAGAAGAAGATTCACACATACCACGCGACTTACCAAGATCTGCCCAGCGCCTTTCCACCCCATAGCGAATTCATTCACCTTGGCCGGAGTCTCCCCCACAGCTGGCTGGGTGAGAACAAGTTTCATCGGGATGTTGCCGGAAGCCTGGACAGATAGAGCAGTCGTTCCACTCAAACAAGCAGCGAGCTCACCTCAGGATTACGCACGACGTTACCGAAATCGAGCTTAAGACGGATATTCTTCCCACCAGCTTGATTGTCAGTGTAATAGAATTGGTTGATAGGCAATGCCGGCTTCGTATAGCCACCGAACTTGTTACCACTCCAACTCTTCTTATAGAAGGTGTTGCCATTCCCGCCGCCACCCGCTCTGAATCCCTGACCGTTTCCATAGCTGTAACCACCATTACCGTATTGCTTCTGACCGTAGCCACCGTTACCATAACTCTTCTGATAGCCACCATTGCCATAACTCTTCTGGTAGCCCCCATTGCCGTACGTCTTTTGATAGCCCCCATTGCCGTACGTCTTTTGATAGCCACCATTTCCGTAGCTTTTCTGATAGCCACCATTGCCGTAGTTCGTCTGATAGCCTCCGTTGCCCGACTGGTTGTAGTAGGAGCAGCGCCCTCCACTGCCCATTGACAACAGAGATGGCACGGCTCTACAGATGAACTTCTGGCCTACACCGAAGGGAGTAAGCGGCGAACGCAGCATCATTGAATCCTGACTCTAACAGCTGCATGAGCGTCTTCAATGAGAACATCCTTCCCAACTCGAGAAAAAAAGTCAACGTGAAACATGATTGCGGCATGAATAACTAGGACTTAACAGTGTACACATTACACCATATATATACATTACAGATGCGATGCTGACATGTTCCATGATAATACAACCAAGGATCAAAACATCTCGCCGCTTCCAGTCAAGTCGCTATCTTCTGAAGGGCCTAATGCACCGTATTAACCAATGAACTGACGAGCTTTCTCTCTTAATACAAGCCTTACCAGCGTTGCAACAACTGCCCGACCCCAGACCTATTTCCAAATCGACTGGCACCTAGGAGGGGACTATAAGAAGGCCGACGCCCGAGCAGCTGCCAATCGTACTGAGCGGTATACCTCCTTCCCCGACAAACTGTGGAGACTATCCCGTCTAGGAGACTCTGACGGCTGAGGTTCAATAAACAACAATTGCTGCTGCTTGCACATACTCGAACGCCAGCTTACACAGGGATCTACTGCAGCTGGAGTTGCCAGCAAGCATAGACTGCCATTGGCACCCGTGCAGAGCCTGTCTCTCCACTCCTCCAGCGTCTTCTTATTCGGGAGGACCTATCACTCATTACCATCCCTGCCAGACCTAAGCAACGTACGCTTCTGTCTTTGGTGCTCTCCATCTCCTTCTCTATGAAAAAGGTCCTCATCAGGCCTTTCCCCTTTATAAACATATCACCTCGGTCAACCAGTTCGAAGTCCCCCTGGATACGCTGTGCCGTCGCCTCCGAGCAATGAACCTGGACCAGCTGTGCTGCAACTACACCGCCATACAGTCGAGACTCCCACTTTCATAGGCTCCCCATGACTCTCCATTCGAGAGGCCGTATTCACACAATCGCCCCATACGTCGTAGATGAACTTCTTCCTGCCTATTACACCAGCCACGCATGAGCCCGAATGACAGCCAACTCTCAGCGCTAGAGGGTTGCCCATATCATCACAGAACCTAGACCCAGCTCAGCCGAGGCGACCACGATGCAGTACATACACGCCGACATCAGCAACCATGTCCAGACCCATTCGGGCCACAGCATGCGCATGGAGGGGATGAGGAGTGGGAAGCCCAGCCGCAGCCATATATCTAACACGATGGAGTACTTGCGTGAGCCCTCCACGCCACTTACGCATCCCCAATGGTTTTTATCTTCTCCAAGCCGTGTTTTTCAGCAATATTATCAAACATGAAGAAAAGCTCATTAAGTAGCAACAGGACTTGCTCGGGAGGCACCCGTGACGAGATGGAGGTGAAGCCGACTACGTCAGCGAATAGTATCGACGCATCA